AAGGAAGGAGGGTTGGTGAGTGGAAGAGAATTGAAGTGGATAGAGTACCCTGTGTAAATGATCTCTAAAACCCATTTGTCCGTAGTTATGGTGAAGGCAGTTGCTGAATGGAGGAAGGCATGTGAAGCATTACAGCTGGTAAGAAAGAGGATGGCAGCTCAGGACCCCAACCTTCCCATCAAAATTGATCCTTTGAAGAGCAAAGTTGTGAAGTTGAAGGCTGGGAGATGGGTAGTTTCCTCCTCTGAAACCTCTGCCTCTTGTGGTGAGGTTTGTATGGCCTCTGCTAACTCAGAAACTGCACAGGATGGGAATCTGTGCTTTCTGGGACCTACTAAATTTTCTCTTCAGAATACATGTGTAGCTCCCCAGAGATTGTAAAGTGGCTCTTCAAACTTTTAATGTATGCAGGGATTCATCTGTATTGCCAGCAAACAACTTAGTGCCATCAAAAGGCAGGTCCTCTATCATATTCTGGACCTGCTTTGGGAAGTCAGGAGGCCCTCTTCATAACTATTGCTGTAGAAATAGAATAAGTAGTAGCATTGGCAGCATTGAGAGAAGCCTGCAGAGATATCCTGTGAGGAGTTGGTTTTCTGCAATAAGTGACTGGAACTGCTCTCTGTGTTCTGTCGGCTGATGGTCAATAAAGGAGTTTAGCTTGGTATAATTTGTGCAGTTGTACTTCACCAGTAAGGCCAGATAGTTGGCGATTCTAAACTGTAAAGTAGTTGAATCAGATTTTGATGCTTATGATTTTTATCATAGAGTGTAGATTTAGTGTAGTTCTGCCTACCATGTTTGTTAACTGCCTCAACCACCAAGGATTTAAGAGATGGGTGAGAAAATAAAAATTATGACCCTTAGAGCAGGGATCGGCAACCTCTGGCATGCGGCCTGCCAGGGTAAGCACCCTGGTGGGCCGGGCCGGTTTGTTTACCTACCGCGTCCGCAGGTTTGGCCGATCACAGCTCCCACTGGCCACGGTTCGTCGCTCCAGGCCAATGGGGGCTACGGGAAGCAGTGCGGGCTGAGGGATGTGCCGGCCGCTGCTTCCTGCAGCCCTCATTGTCCTGGAGCGGCGAATTGCGGCCAGTGGGAGCCGTTATCGGCTGAACCTGCAGACGCAGCAGGTAAATAAACCGGCCCGGCCTGCCAGGGTAAGCACCCTGGTGGGCCGGGCCGGTTTGTTTACCTACCGCGTCCGCAGGTTTGGCCGATCACAGCTCCCACTGGCCACGGTTCGGCGCGCCAGGGCCAAGGGGGCCACCGGGAGCCGTGCCGGGTGGGGGGTGGGCCCGGCGCCGCCCTCCCGCGCTCC